TTCCTACGTGGGTTACTCCCATAAATTCAAGAAAAATAAATTTTTCCCACTATTTGCAATTTTGTGGATTTTTGTGGCATTTTTTGTCGACCGTTTGCATTTGTTTGTGCACGTTTATTTTATTTAATTCATGAAAAAAGATACAAAAATACCGTGCATTGGCATTTAGGATTGATTTTCACATTTTAAGGTAAATTATTAAATTAGGTGCTCCATTAAAATGAAAATCACAAAATTGGCTTACTTTTGCATTTCTAGCCTTTTAATTCCAAATCAATAATTTCCCCTTTAATTTAGAAGTAATTAATGCTTATAAATATTATATTAGGTATTTAGCTTAATTTAGTAAATTAATTATTTTTAGGAGTTTAAATTTAAGTTTTAATTAATTAAGAAGGGAAAGAAAAAACAACAAATGAAAAGAGAGGAAAAAGAGAATTAAGAAAATAGGGCTGTTGAGTAATGGATTAAAATGCAAGGCCCAAATTCCATTCAACCCAAACAAATTCGACCCAGTCTGCCCAGGCCCAACTCAATTCCAGCCTTACCCGCCCATCTCCCTTAAACCGACCCGACCCGTTCCCAAATAATTCATAACTAAAAGAAGCGAACGGGCGAGCCCTAAGTCCCAAACCCAACGCGTTATTGTTCTTCTTCTCCGAAGAACACACGAACAAACCCCAAATTCAGGCAAAATCTATGGCGAGTGAACATCAAACCTCACACCACGCGTTTCCCCCCTTCTCTCTTCTTGCCATTTCTAACGGTTCTGATACCAAAGATTCCCCCTCCTCTCACTCGCTTGAAGGTGAGATATAGCACGCGATTGGAAGGTTCTGAGAACGATTCGTTGGATGAGTGTGAGGCGTTGGATCGATTTCACTGAATCCAAGCCCCACATTCATTAGATGTTCGTTTTCAAAAGGGTCGTTTCTGATTTTTGTAAAGGGAGAAGATTTCAGAGAATTCTGGGGTAAAAAAAAATCAGAGGAAAAAAAATGGAGGATTGGTTCTGAGTTTTCTTAGGTTTTATTCATTCTGTTTTCTTTTCGATTTCTGAAAGAGAATGGGAAAATTTGTGAATTATTTTCTTTTGCTTGTTCTTAGTTTGCTTCCAAAACTCTGAAAACTCGAAGAAGAAAAAAGTTCCATTTTCCTTCCATGATTTCCTTTCAAGTGAAGTTGATTTAAGCGAGCTCATCACTGTTGAGAGCTGCTGGTCGAGTTTCCTCCATGGCTGCTAAGTCCTGTTTCTCTGCTGTTGCTTTGTTTTTGGATTTCCACTACTAAACCTTCTTGTATTCTGCTCTTGGAAGTAGTTGAAGTTTTGCGCATTCAGGTGCATTTCCTCTCCTGTACTACTTTATTTAGACGGCTTAAAATATGGTTAAGAAGTTCAGTCTTGATTAAGCTAAAATTTATGCATTGGCGACGTGATAAGTTACATTTTGATGAAACCTGTGGTTGTTAGCAGAGTACGAAACTGCAACGTTTTACTTTCGAATTCTTGTTGTTTGTTCCATTAGTTTGCTTTGTTTGGTTGAAGCTTGGGTAGTCGTGAAAATGTTAGCCGAATCTCATTCTAGTGATGTATTATGTTGTGATTTTTATCAACATTTAGTACTTTTTTCTTAGTTGGAGCCCGAAAGAGTTTTGGAAACAAGTGTTGTTTTCTACCTATTGATAATCCAGTCTACTTGTTTTTGTTCTTTGTTCTGTTGAGTCCCTATGTTAACTGATAGCTCTATTTGATCGGGAAACAATTGGTGTTGAAACTCAGCTGTGTCGTTGTTTGTATATGTGTAGATTTGCTCTATTTTCTTTCCCCCTGCTCGAAAAGCTATCTGCATTGTTTCATCTATAAGAACTCCATTCTGTCATGCTACTAAAAACAACTGATTCAAGCAATGAATTGTGTTGAAATATGCAGCATTTTGGGAATATTTGTTTGGACTGTCAGCCTGCTGAAAGCTACACTATTTTGCACTGTCTAGGCAGCTCTATTTCCTGCTTTGCTCAAAAATTTACATGCCTTCTGCTTCAAAACTTCTGCTCTTTCGAGCTGTTGAAGAAGTCAATTTGAGCAGTTGTTGGCCTGCCCTGTTTTGTACTGTCTAGGTGGCACTGTTTCCTGCTCTTATTCAAAAATTCTGCATTGTTAGCCATAGTGTTCTGTTTGGGAATTTAGCACACAACTAGTCAATAGTTGTGCTAAGGCTGACTTCAAATCAATTCGTTCAAATAGCTTAATAGTGATAAGTTCTGATGGCAGTCTTCTTTATGCTAATGATAAGCTGTAGCATTTGTGCTACTGGCAGTCAATTTGATAAACTTGTAAGCTTGCTTAAGCTGACCTGCCTTTGCATGAACTTCGATTAGTGTATTATAAATGACAACATCTGGATTGATTCCACTATCTTTCATCTGCTGGAAAAGCTTGTTTACTTCCTCAATTCTGCCAGCCTTCTCGGGCACATTTATCATGGTGTTATACATTACAATGTCAAGGTGTTATGACCATTCTCATGTCAGTTTTATTTGGCCTCATATTTTAGATTTAAGAACTCATTCCTTAGTTGTCATCTGTTTCTTCTTGGTTCAATGGTGATGCAAGTACAGTAAGTATATATTCCCTTTTCTGTTAGATCAAGTTTAGGCTGGATTATATGGATATGATTTGTTTAGGCAAGGACATTGTTGATGTAGTAGCCCAATTCAGAAGGCTTCTTTGAGTCAGAGCCAGGCCATTTCCTTTGTTTGGGGCCTCCAATCCTTTTGTGTGGGCTCAAGACTTTTTTGTGCAATGAATTAGTTTTCCCTCACACAATCCTTTTGGATAATTTAAATGGAACCTTTAACTACATTTAGTGTTAATTAATTAAGCCCATCAAGTAGATTGGAGGTGAGTCATAACTAGATAACTCATAGTTCATGGCCCTTCAAGCTATAGTTTGAATATCCTTTAAAAATGGAATTGAGGTGCGCCGCGCCAAGTAAGATGACAATTCACGTAGCCCTCTTTAATTATGTCTTTAAAAACATTTAGAATTCGAGGCGTGCCATTTAGTAAATTTCCATGGCCCTCGCAAAGTTAAAAACGCGTAGTTGCTTTAGATGCGATATTTTAATAAAATTACTTTTCCTAAATTCGGGTGCACATTTATGTGACCCAAATCCAAATCCCAACAATGTTAAAATATGTCAAAAATCACAGGTGCATTTATGTGACGTGGTTCGAGACGTGTTTTAATAACGTTGCAATCTTCTTTAAAAATGAATAAAAGCGGTTTAAAGTTAAAATTGCACATAGGTTAAAACTTGTATTAAAATCAGATAATTAAGCCGGATATAATAGTTGAGCGACCGTGCTAGAACCACGGAATTCGGGAATGCCTAATACCTTCTCCCGGGTTAACAGAATTCCTTACTCGGATTTTTGGTTTGCGGACTGTTAAACAAAGTCATATTCTCCTCGATTCGGGATTCAACCGGTGACTTGGGACACCACAAATCTCCCAAATGGCTACTCTGAATTTCTTAGTATAAATCCTGTTTCGATTGCCCTTTAATTGGAAAAACACCTTTATACATCCCCTTTCGGGGGGTGTAGCTAAAAAAGGAGGTGTGACAAGCACGATTTATGCCGAGATCATACGGCCAATCAAGAATAACATGTAAAATACCGAAGGACATGCGGCACGATCTATAGATGCATCTATTATACTATTGAGGCATTCGGCTTGTAGATTCCCTAGGATAGAACTACTCTGATACCAAGTTTGTCACGTCCCAAACCTGACGAGGCGTGACCGGCACCCGGTGCCATACTCGGCCCGAGCGTACCACTCTGTTACTATGAACTCTAGAGGGGTAACCCTCAACTTAGACCGATGAGATCATATTCTGAAACGTATGAAAATAACGCCTCTCTCATCTATAGGGTAAACATACCCAGAAGCTTATATATATATNCGTCTACAAACCTCTAGAGATAACTGAGTTATACCATGGTCAGGACAGGGCCTCAACCTACCCATTAAACCTGTATATATAAAATGGACTCTGAGGTCTAGACCTGGTAACTTTGAGAAAGTGGGGCTTACCAACCAAGCTAATATTTGACTCTGTCTGGTGGGAGGGTCTGTCCAACTATCAATGAGGACCTGGAGGCATGAAAAACAGTGTCCCAAACAAGAGGGACGTCAGTACGAAATAATGTACCGAGTATGTAAGGCAACAGAATAACTGAAAGCTAAAATTGAACTGATAATATAATAACTGAAAGTAACTTGGAGTCAAAGATAATATGAAAATATGCTTACCCGCTGATACTGACTCAACTCTCTCAATATAGTAAGTAAAATAGTTGTTCGGCCTTATAAGGCTCGGTATGTGTAACTTCTCTGTTGTAGTAGGCTCGCTCATAGGCACTTGGCCATATTAGGCTCTGTATCTTGGCTATTCTAGGATCGCTCATAGGTGCTTGGCCACAGTAGGCTAGGTATATAACTCACCATCTGATCAGAGGTTGCCTAATAGGGGTCTGCCCATCGATTATAGCTCGATGGTGGTGAAAATACTGTAATATTGTATATACATATACTCTATACTCTCTTGGCTGACAGAAGACAAAACTAAACTGAATATGAAGTCCCGATAAGGAAGAATGCTATAACTTTTAAGACTAGGAAAATATACATAAATTCAGGAATATGAACTTCTCTTTATGTATCGTCATCAAACACATGTAGTTACTGGATCATGCCAGAAAGAAAGGTTTAGCCTTAACCTAACTTAACTCTGTTGAGTCCTTAATACCTTCCAAGCAATTCTTCAAACAACTTAACTCAATCTACAATAGCATAAGGAGATTTAAAATCAGTGTCGAGTAAAGGCTAAGTTCGCAACTTAAACTTGTAGCTCGTTTACGTAAATTTGGGCAGCATCTCCCCTGTAACAAGGCCTTCTTCCAACACCATATACCAATAACACCAAGAACAAAACAATAACAATATGTATGCATCATTTTCCAACCTTATCTCCATCACAATATATCACAAAAACAATATATGTTAGTTTACTGCTGACTGAACTATAACATACAAACTAAGCAAAAGAATTAAAAGGCATTAACATTACGAAATCATTAAAAGCACGGTTCACAAAAGGTTTAGGCATGGATGCCCAACTCTCAAAGCCAATAGGAAAGCATCGAGGATTTCTAGCAAGCTGCCCCAAAAATCCTGCAAGAAGGCCGGCTGATTTTTCAATAGGTTGAGCAAACTCATCACATTCTACAATTATGCGCGATCCATTCTCCAAGTTATGAATATCCTGAACCTTTAACCTAATAGATTTTATCACTTGACATTCATCTGCAATAAAATAAAGAACATATCAAAATATTAATCGAGGAAAACAAAATTATTTTTAATTTATATGTACCTATAACATCGACAACCCAATCACGAGACTACGAGTCATCTATAACTCGTCTACGTGTAGTTGGTTGTGAAGAGACTCCACCAGACGATGAAGATGGAATGACATTCTATGACAAGACTCTATTAGTTGATGAAGCTGGAATGTCATTCTGTGACGAAACTCTATTAGTTGATGAAGCTGGAATGCCATTTTGTGACGAGACTCTATTAGTTGATGAAGCTAGAATGCCATTATGTGACGAGACTCTATTAGTTGATGAAGATGGAATGATGGGTTGTGTATGACGTAAAGAGTCTCGATCAGAAAATGAATATGAAGCTTGAGATTGAGATTGAGCATGTGATGACTGCTCTGGAGCAAGTGAAGAGCTCCCTTTGATTGATTTAAATAGATTTTTTATCCGATTATGCTTCGGCATCTCTACAAATATACATGGTTGAACAATGACAACCAAATCCATATGCAAACATAGCAAATCAAGTAATATGCAATTTCAAATACAACAGAGAATTTCAACAGAGAACATCTAAGCAGAAACAATATTAGCAGTGCAAGACCATATCCAATTCCCAAATTTTGAAGGCACACATTGAATTACAACAGATTCACATAGTGGAATTACAAGATGAAATATTGGGAAATAAGAAGTTGCGCAATTAAGAATTAACAGGACATGTGGTTTGCTAATCTAAGATTTATCAATTGGCATGGGTAGAAAAGAAGATATAAGATAACATCACAATATCAAAATGAATAAGCTAGTTCATAGCCACTATATGAAAATCAAAAGAATAGTAATTACTTAATCACACTTTTTAACTTCTGAAGAATATGTAAACAGAAACCAAAGTGAGAAATAAACAAAGAAAAGAAAATTATCACAACAAGAATTTTCTATTATTCACAAATCTAATCTAATTGTCATCACCAACAACTACTCTACTATCGACCTCAATCCCAAAACTAGTCGGAATTCTCAAAATTTACTCTGCTCCATTGACCCATTTTACAAATCCAACTCAATTGTCGACTGACTGGAAAAACAATTACTGATTAATAGAACTTCCTTTCCTTAATAAATCTGACCCGATTGTCAAATTACAAGAGACATGAAAATTGCCAAAAAGAAACTTCCTATTTTCATAAATCTGATCCAATTCTCAGCATCAACAACTACTACTATGCCTTTATCCCATATTACCAACTAATATGAGTCCTCAATATCTATTACTCCATTTGGATAAAATTGCATATAAATAGAAATATGGGCATATGTAAATTTAAATTTTAGATTACAAATTCAGTAAACTAGTGACAAATGAGAGTTGTGTGCGGACTTTATTGCCAATTTGAGTATTGAAGTGTCTGTATATATATAGTCTAGTTCTCCAGCTTCTAATTCAAACACAAGTCAGTTTCATTTTCAATACACTTCAAAGCTTCAATTTACCTTTAAAAAAAGAAAGTTGCTCAAAAGAAAGGATAAAGTTAACTATACATATCAAATATAATTTTTGTGACGTCGATCCCAATAGCTTTACCATCTGTTTTAGATTCATCGACTACCTATCAAGGACATAAATGATATTTAGGTTAGTATTAGCAGAACAAAAACTAAAAATGTCAAAATTTAAATAAACACAAACTTAATTGAACAGAAAAGTAACAAAACGTGACATAAAAATAAAAGAAAAAAGAAATAAAACTATTAGCAAAAATTGACAGCTAAACCAGTGAAATCGACGTCCGAATCAATAAAATTGACTGTCAAATTATGAAATTGATGGCTTAAAGTAGTGAATCGATAGCTAAAATCGGTGATTTAAACTGATCTTCGTCCAATATACACACATGCATGCCTAAAATCAATTAAATCAATGGCTAAATCAGCAAAATCGAAACCTAAATCAGTGAAATTCACGGCTAAAATCAGTGATTTAAACTGATATCCATCCAATACACACACATGCATGCCTAAAATCAATTAAATCAATGGCTAAATCAGCAAAATCGAAACCTAAATCAGTGAAATTCACGGCTAAAATCAGTGATTTAAACTGATATCCATCCAATACACACACATGCATGCCTTAAACCAGTGAAATCAACGGCATTTTGTAAGGAATTACACGAACGACTTGAAGCGAGTATTTATCATAAAAGGGTGATTTACCTTAAACGAGTTGAAATCTGATCTCCTTATATAAAAGCTAAAGGATTTTGGGAGAATCATTAAAGGATATGACCGTCTTACGTTATTGTAATCTCAATAATGAATACTGATTTGGGGAATCGTTTAGGGATTTAGAGAGAAAGAGAGAGAAGGTGTATAGAGAGAGAAAGAGAGAGAAGGTGTATTGAGAGAGAAGAAGAGAGAAGGTGTACCATCTGTTTAGGACTTTAAGAGTTTTAATGATATTTACGTTATCATGATATTTAGTTATCATTAAATAAAAATGTTTAGGGCTTTAGGAGTTTTTACGTTATTTAATATTAAACATTAGCGGCGGTTGCAACCGCCATAATTATAAAAAATAACGTCGTTTGAACATACACACTAATGGCATCTGGAACGCTGCCGTATTATGATATATATTGTGACGGTTTTGATGAACCACCGTTATTTAACCGCCGCAATAATTCCAATTTTTTGTAGTGTAATCACTCATACATAAAACGACAACAAAAGTAGTGTCAAACAACCTAGAAATGTAACAACGAATGACCAGCCCACCATTCTGCCACTATATGGTGTTTCTCCACAACTTTTATCCTCCAAAACTTCATAAAACATCAGCAAAATAGGAAGCCCAAAAGCAACACGAGACAACCCACAAAATAGTGCATTACAAGTCGAATAACTCAAACTCACATCTTTCGATCACCTTCCCGTGAGTTCTAACTATTAAAAAACGAATTTATCAACCTTCCTTGATATTTAAAGCTTAAATACTGAAAGTAGACATTTTATTAACTATGAAGTACCTTCCAAAGCTCAAACTACAAAGAAAAAGAGAGGTTTTATAGCGATACTTACTTCGTAGGGATCGTTCAAGTGCTATTACCTCTTGATTTCGTACCCGGATGTTAATATTCTTGGAAATCCTTGTGGAAAGCTTGAGGATAAGTTTCGAGGTCTTATTCTGGTTGTGGTATATGGAGAAGTGAAGAAAGAGACGACATAAGGCCTATATATATATATANGACGCTTATATCTTTTTATCCGGATATCGTATGAACATATGGTTAAGAGAGATAGAAAATAAATTCCAACATCTTCAATTTGGTATATAATATGTCCCAAAAATACCCCATATAGCACACGAAATCTATTGCTCAAAAAGCTTTAGTGACACACCTAGTTGTCACCTATGCAGTCTGTGCAGTCTCGCAAAACTGCAAATATCTCTCTACTCCTATGTCATATCGATAAACGGTTAAATGCATTAGAAAATGGACTCGTAGATCTTCAATTTGATAGATAGATCATCCTCTAATTCCAAGTATATTGGGAGAAAAACTCAGATATATTTGACCTAAAGTTCAGCATATTTATGAATGTAACTTGTGATGATCTAAACATAGCACACGTCTATCATAACAAAAATTTCTCATAACATAACCTCCTTATTATTTTGAGCACCTTAGTCTCACCCCAAAAGTACATGTTATAACATTCCCAACTTGCCGACTTTCGATGAAACTTATTTTCTTCAATTGGTTTAGCTACTAAGCCTTCCAACCCTCTTGGTACTTGCAATCCATGATCTTAAATATTTGTAACCTCCAAGTTAACATGATAACTTACTTTACATACTTCCAAATATGATCTCATTTCTGAGCTTACATCAATTGACTTACGACGTACTTTTGCATACGAAAATATGGGGTGTAACAAAGTAGTCCTCCCAAACTTCAAGCAAGTGAAAGTCGGTCCTTTAAAATTCCTCTAAGAAGTTCTAATATAATTTAGGCAATTTAATTAACAAGTAGAGTGCAACCATTATAAGTATTTCTGATTTTGGTCCTAAATTATCCGGACATAAGCATAATTAATAATTACGCACGGACTCTCGCCACCTCGTACGTACGTAGCTCCCACAATTAGTAGTAAATATTAATTCAAACCACCTATGGGTTAAATTTCCTCTTACAAGGTTAGGCAAGAGACTTACCTCGCCTCAAAGCTCTCTTTCGGGTCACAATTTCATTCTAATGCCTCAACTAGGTGCTGAACAATTCGAAACTAGTCAAATGTTATATAAGATAATCAATATATGCTTAAGAGTTAATAACTTAACTATTAGAGTAATTACCCAATCCAAATTGTAAGATTCCTAATAGTTCGCCCGTGGGCCCACGTACCCGGATTCCGGAAATTTTCGAAGAAAGTAGTTATCCATGACCTCACGAACTCAAATATATAATTTTTACCAATCCCATACTTGGTTAAAACTTATTTTATCAAAACCGTAGGTTTTCCTTAAAATCCCATAAATCCTACCATTTTTCATGTTAAATCTATTTATGATTTGTGTATTTAGCTAAAGAATTAAAAGGGATTACTTACCTCTTGATGTTGATGGAACCCCTCCGAAAAATTCTCTCAAAATCGTCTAAGACCAAATGAGAAATGAGGCAAATAAAGCTAAGTCCCTTAATAAAAAATTGTTAAACAGGTCGAGGTGTCACATTTGCAATACCTTGTTCACAAATGCGAAGGTCGCAAATGCGAAGTTGAGCCTCCAACATCAAGGTCGCATTTGCAACCACAACATTATAAATGGGAAGGGGGGCGGAGCTGATCGCGAACGCGACTGGAAATCTCGCAATTGCGAGTCCTGCCTTGACCATGCTTTTTCGCACTTGCGAAGCCAGTTTCGCAAATACAAACAAAATCTTGCATTTGTGATACTTGAGACACCAGCAAAAGAACCAAAAAATTAATGTCTTTCCCATCCACCCGAACATGTTTAAAACTCACCCGATCCCTTGTGGCTTCACACCAAAAATCCACACAAGTCTAAAAACATCATACGAACATGCTCGCATAATTGAAACGCTGAAATAACATCTAAAAACATGAATTGGATGCCAAAATGCATGAATCAAATCATGAAAACTCAAAACTTCTAAAAACACATCCGCGCATCCGATTCCTATCAAATCAACTCGGAATGACCCTAAATTTTGCATGCAAGTCTTAAATCACCATACAGAACTATTTCCAGGCTTGAAATCCCGAATATACCTCGATAACACCAAAATCTACTCCGAATCAAATTTAAAGAACTTTAAAACCTTCAATGAGCCAACTTTCAATATCAAGGACTGAAATGCTCCAGTGTCATCCAAAACCCGATCCGAACATACGCCTGAGTCCAAAATTATCATACAAATATATTGGAACCGTCAAATCCTATTTCCAAGGTCGTTTACACAAAATGTTGACTCAAGTCAAACTTAGACCTTTTTTAGCCAACATTAAGGAACCAAGTATTCCGATTTCATCCCAACCCTTCCAAATCCCGAACTAACCATCCCCGCAAGTCCTAAAGCAGTTAAAGTACATTTGGGGTCTTATTAGGGGAACGAGTATCTAGAAAGCAAAATGGTCGGTCGGGTCTTTACAAAATCAACATCATAAAAGGCTGAGAGAGTTTCTGAGCAGGTAGCACTCAATAGAACACCTAAACCAGGGCCAGACTTAAAATATCTCCCCACTCTTAGGGCAATTTCCATATTGGAAGTCTTGAGTTTATGTGAATTGACGTAAAAACTGCTCTACAAATGAAATATCAGAATGAGTACTGGTTAAGTAGAGCAATTTATCCAATAGTCTCTGATAGAGGCCTGAATCAAGAAGTATAGAATCACTAGTAGACTCTTTATGAACACCAATCTCTGTGATAGTCAATTTGAGATTTTGCTTTAAAGGAGAGTGGACAAGCTTAGACCCTACTAAACCCAGATAAGAGATCAACTCCAAAGCGCACATGCATTAGTGCATCAAGATTCCCTTGTCACACCTAGCAAACTCTTGCCCAAGAAAAATTTGAGCTCACCGAGGTCATTAATATTAAAATTGGACTATAGGTCATCCTTAGTCTATTGTATAAGTAGCAAATCATCACATGTGATCAGTAGGTCATCAACATAGACCAAAACCACCACTAACTTTGCTGCCTCTTTATCAATGAATAAGGAATAGTCTAGGTGGCTTTGTGTAAATCTAGAATTCTGCAATGTTGTGGTCAAATTGATATTCCATTGTCTAGAAGTTGCTTAAGTCCATACAAAGACTTAAGCAGCTTGCACACCAAGGGCTTAACAGTGGAACCACTGAACCTTTATGGAATTGTCATATACACCTCCTCAAATAGGTCATCTTGTGAAAATGCATTGTACACATCCATTTGATGGATGATCCAATTTCTTGAAGCTGTTATGGAAAGCACATTTCGGACAATTACTATTTTCACTGTAGTGAGAATGTCTCTTAGTAGTCTAAGCCCTTAATGTGATTATATCCTTTTGCCATAAGTCTGACTTTAAGCATTTCAGTTTTTTTTTTACCAATAAGTTTTTTATTAATAAAAAAGAAAAGAAAATACAACAAATAGGAAAAGTATAAATAAGGGGGACAATAGCACCGATATTATTGCTCATGTGCCTTGGCTATATAATCACTCCTCTGCGCCTCACACTGCCTTTTGATGACAGCCTCATGTAGAGGATTCATGGTGTAGCTGTCGGCAATGTCTCACAAGGGCATATAATCTCATGGTCGTGTGGATATTTTTCTAAAGGCATAGGATCAAGGCAACACAAACTGGGCTAAACCTTACCTTACTAATCCTATTGAGGCAAAGAAAAAGCCTCATCTTCTAGCAAGCATGTAATAAATAGGAACTTGAAAGTACCAAGTACTCTATGATCGCCATAGAGTTTATAACACACTCTATGACGCTATTACAAGTGATGATGCTTTAAAAATGATAAACTAAAACAATGTAGAAATTAGAGTCTTGCCCCTCATTTCTCAAACTTGTGAGTTCTTCAATTTGAACTTCCTTAAATTCCTCTTTAACTATCTTCAAATAATCTTCAAAATTCTTCATTTCTTCATGGATCTATTGGACCTCGTAGATGTGGAGGTGGCAACCCCTTTTTGTTTTGCAGCTCTCATTGGGAGTTGCCTGAGCATTATTTTATTTGAGTATGTACATCTATGAGGTTTTGGACTGTCCAAAGCATCCAATAGATCCCAGTCATGGTTTGAAATCAAAGCATGGTTTGAAAACTCAGCTGAACGTTTAACATTGTCCAATTCTACTGTTGCATCACCTGAAGTGTGATGTTGCTTTTGTAGTGGACTGCCTAGAGTATGCTTCTACTGTCCAGCCATGAAACTTATA